AAATACCAGAACAATACCGGCCCCCCACCCCCCACCCCAATCCTTATCGTATCAAACCAGGAGGAAAATAGAGCTGAGTTTATTTGAGTTTTTTTTTTTTTTTTGCCTCACACTGATGAGCCTGCTCGGTATTTATGCGGCTGAATCTGGATTAAGAGAAGATTTTCACGCTAAAATGTTCCCACTCTGTCTAATCCCATAATATATCCCCACGCTACAATGTGTTGATTGTCACTAATGCGTTTGGTGTGGGCTTATTGTCACATCAAAATGAGAAATCTGCTTTATTTACACTGTCAGCTTTAATAACAGCAGATAGAACAAAAATATTTTACTAAATAAAAAAACCTTTGTTAGATTTTGAAAATCAGTTTAGCGTAGGAGGCTTTTAATTAACAGTAAAACAATTGAAACTGTTTGTTTGATATTCTTTAATATTCTTTTCATCCTCCTATAATTATCAAATGGAAATAAATGATAAGTTGAGGAAAAATAAAAAAATAGATAGAAGCTAATCGCTTATAAATAATGAATTAGTGTTTTCTAATTTCAGCTTAAAGTATTTTTAATCAAGATTGTGATTATCATCTGTTTTTATAATGAAAAATAATTTAAAATATTAGCATATTTAAGATAAAATTATTTTTCATATATACATATATTTGTATTCAGGCGGTTTGGCACGAAGTGCGCGGGCTGCCTGCAAGGGATTTCCCCGAACGACCTGGTGCGTAAAGCCCGCAGTAAGGTGTTCCACCTGAACTGCTTCACGTGCATGRTGTGCAACAAGCAGCTGTCCACGGGAGAGGAGCTCTACGTCATCGACGAAAACAAGTTCGTGTGCAAAGAGGACTACCTGAGCTCCGGGGCCATCAAGGAGGTCAGCCTGAACTCAGGTGAGCCCTAACCCCGAGGATTATCCAAACCTTCCCCTCATGTGTGGATAAATATTAGAATCAGCTGTATCTGAAAGAAAAAAACCTGTCTGAAGACAGTCCAGGGTGGACGGATGTGTTTGTCCTCAGGTCCCTGGACAATATTTAACCACCTCGTCCACTTCCAATATTTATTTCTACATGTTTGTGTTTTTACGCGCGGATTCCTCAGGGAGGAGTGTGTTGCTTTGTGTCCTTTTTCCTCATCATCCTTAGAGACAAGACTCCTGAGGACCGAGCTCTGTCCTCTGTCCATGTCCTCTGTCCTCTGTCCCTGTCCTCTGTCCTCTGTCCTCTGTCTCCTGATGGGACTGTCCTCTGTCTCCTGATGAGACTGTCCTCTGTCTCCTGATGAGACTGTCCTCTGTCTCCTGATGGGACTGTCCTCTGTCTCCTGATGGGACTGTCCTCTGTGTCTCCTGATGGGACTGTCCTCTGTCTCCTGATGGGACTGTCCTCTGTGTCTCCTGATGGGACTGTCCTCTGTGTCTCCTGATGGGACTGTCCTCTGTCTCCTGATGGGACTGTCCTCTGTCTCCTGATGGGACTGTCCTCTGTGTCTCCTGATGGGACTGTCCTCTGTGTCTCCTGATGAGACTGTCCTCTGTGTCTCCTGATGGGACTGTCCTCTGTGTCTCCTGATGAGACTGTCC